GCACGAGAAAAAAAAGCTATGCCACTAAAAAAATGTTATGTAAAGAATTGTAAGATAAAAAAAGTTGTTAGATAAAAAAAATAGCTAGGTAATAATTTATCTAGCTAATAATTTATCTAGCTAATAATTTGGCTAGCTAATAATTTGGATGGCTAACAAATAGGCTAGCTCATAATTTAGCTAGCTCATAATTTAGCTAGTTCATAATTTAGCTAGTTCATAATTTAGCTAGCTCATAATTTAGCTATGAAGCTAAAATCAGAATTTTGTTGTTTAGCTACATAGCTACATTGTTAGCTATATAGCTAAATATCCCTCATTTATGTAATTGGATCAGCTAATAATATCTTCTCCCCGTTGCCATAGCTTCGAGATGGTGTCGGACGGCAAGTACCACGTGGTGGAGCTGCTCGCCGTCAAGAAGAACTTCACGCTGCGCGTGGACCACGGCCTGGCGCGCTCCATCATCAACGAGGGCGAGAAGGACTTCCTGCGGCTCACCACGCCGCTCTTCATCGGCGGCGTGCCCCCGGAGCCCGGCCAGGGCGCCTTCAACCAGTGGCACCTCCGCAACCTCACGTCCTTCCACGGTTAGTCGCCAGAGTCTTTAACTTCACTTTCACATACTGACGACAAAAAAAATCCATATTAACAAGAAAATTATTCCTTGAAAACAAGCGGACTAGAATTCTTTTTTGCTGTGGGCCAAGAATATTTTTTTCTTGAATCATGAAAATATGCTTTATTTGAAAACATGTTACTTCACATTGTTTCTTGATTAAATAGAAACAACGCAAAACAATTCCAGGCCGTTATTTAAAAAATAATTTTCTTGCCTATAAAAATCTTTTTTGGGAGTGACATCAAAAATTTTTGACGATATCATTGAATCTTTAATGTATTTCTGGCGTGTTTTTTTTGAAGGCTGCATGCGCGAGGTCTGGGTGAACCACAAGCTGTTCGACTTCGGCAACGCGGCGCGCACGCTCAAGGTCACCCCCGGCTGCTCGCTCCTGCACGACGACGAGCAGATGGAGGAGGAAGAGGAGGAGGAGACCGAGGACTCGGTGATGGTGTCCTCGAGCCGCCAGCAACAACAGCTGCAGCAGCAGCAGCAGCTTGCCCAGCGGGAGGAGCCGCCCCGCGGCCGCGACCCCTGCGCCAACCACCTGTGCCGCCGCGGCTCCAAGTGCGTGCCCAAGAAGGCCGCCGGCCAGGAGTACACCTGCCGCTGCCAGCCGGGCTTCTCCGGGAAGTACTGCGACAAGGGTGAGTAAGAGTTTATCCTTCTATGGATTTAAAAAAAAAATCTTAAACAATTTTTGTAAAACAAAGATATTTTTTTAAAATTATTTGATAAAACCATATTATTTTTTACACGTAGCTGGGCAAGGCTACCAGGGCTACCAGAGCATCTCGGCGAGCTACTCGGGGCCGAGCGCCGTGGCCGGGATGCAGGTGTCTCCGCCGGTAGGCGGTGGCGGCAGCGGCGGCGGCAGCATCCTCGCGGCGGGCCCGGCCTGCCACAAGAAGCAGACCCGCGAGTACTTCTCGGAGAACGGCTGCCGCTCCCGCAAGCCCATCCGCATGGCGCGCTGCGACGGCGTGTGCCAGCACGGCGGCGCCTGTTGCCGGCCGCGCAAGACCAAGCGCCGCAAGGTACGGGCGCGTCACCTGCTTTCATTTTAAGACTCTTGATGGATTCAAAAATAGATTTTATCTTGAAACAGAAGAAATATTTTGTAATTTTCGAAAATTTGCTTAAAAATTACTGTGTGGTTTCTTTTTAATTTAAAAGAAGTTGGATTAACTTTTTAAAAAATCTTTACAATCTTTCATAATGTGCCGTTTCTTTTCCGATGTCAGGTTCGCCTGATCTGCAGCGACGGCTCCCGCTACACCAAGGACATGGACATCGTCCGCAAGTGCAGCTGCGCGGGCAAGTGCACCGGCCAGGGCGTCGGCCTCATCAACAACTGACTACCAGGCCCCTCCAGCTCGACCTCCCCTGAACCCTCGGCCTCCACCACCACGACCACCACCACGACCACCAGCAGCAGCAGCGCGCTGGCCCCAGGTTTGAAGACGGTGCCGCTCGTCGTGTACTCGGGCGTCCCCGGTGTCCACACGCCCGTGCGCATGACGGTCGTCAACGAGTCCACCCTGGTGGGGGCCGTCATCACGGCCAGCTCGCACCACCACCAGCGCGGCGCCGGCGCCGGCCGGGACACGCCCAGGCACTACTCGTCGTCCTCGGGCAGGCCGACGTCGACCCCCGGAGTGCGCGGCGGCCCGGGCGCGGCCGGCGGCGATCCCCACGCTGACGTCCTGGTGCACGTTCTCGTCACGGCCACGTACGTGTCGTTCTTCGGCACCATCTTCGTGACGTTCGCGTGGGTCGCCACCATGGCCAGCCTGTTCCTGCTGTGTCCGGCGCAGGTCATCGCGCCCGCCGACTTCGTCTAGGACTTGGTCTAGGACTTGGTCTAGGACTTGGTCCACTAGGACCGGCGGAGCGGCAAGGAGGGAAAATGGAGGGGGAGGTGTCGCTTTCATCTTCGGCTTTTCTTTTTTCATTTCTGGATTTAATTTGTCTTCAGTTTGGTTCGCGGGAATGAGAAAGGGCGTGCCCCTTCTTGCGGCACTGCCCTGCTCAGGGCGCCTCGGCGCTGCGGGGGCGGGGGGCGGGTTTGTGTGTGAGACTGAGTGAGTGAGTGAGCGTGTGTGTGTGTGTGTGTGTGTGCTGAGTGAGTGAGACAGAGGTAGTGAATCTCGGTCGGGTCGCTGTCAGATATGTGACAATGTGCGATTCGGCGCCGACCGATGCAACTTCAGGTTGTCTGTTTTTTGTTGTTTTTTTTAATTATTTTTTTTATTCACAAGAGTTTTATTCTAATCAACCCGCCCTCCCGAACTGTTTGCCCTTGCAATGCTGAGCTTGGGGCCAGTAGACGTGGATCTCTTGGGTTGTGATCACATCAGATCCCACAAATCTCTTTTCTTTCCATGCATTCCCTGTAGGAATGTGACAAAGTATTTAAAAATTATCCAAAATTATCATTACTGTAGATTGGTTTGGATTCTTTTAAATTTTATCTATTGACATGGGACATGGATAGTCCTATATTTTATTTTCTGACACAATGCAGTAGTTTCAACAAAAATCATTATGGGAACCAGGAAGTGTAAAGGCTGCCATATTGTTGACCTCTACAACAAAAAGAAATACACTTTCAAGGCAACCCAGACTAACATAGTCTGTATTTCTTATCGTCAACTTACTCTTTACTAGATTCCTTATATTTACTCGTGACTACAGTACCATCTATACTATATTTATTCGCTTTCCCGCTACTACTTTTATGCTATATTCTTATCAATCTTGTAGATTGTATTTATTGTCCTTTTTTTTTCATTTTGTATGACCTTTATGTTACCTGTATTATTTTTGGTTCCTTTGAAGAATGGTTTTGCCGATATAAGGAGATGGAGTTTGATGGGGCAATACAAAAGCATGGAGGGGCCTGTAGTCGGGTGGCTGCGCTCGCGCTTCTAGTCGCCCGCCGATAGAGACTTTAAAACTACCTGCTAGTTTACAACACAGTCACAACGTAGCTCTCTGTACATAGTTCGATAGTGTATTACACCTTTATCCTGACTGAAGCCAACGTACTATAAAGCGTGGAAATGGTTTTCACGCCACAATTTTATTTAAATGAAAAGACAAAAGAGTAGGTACCTTTGCGGAACAATTAACTTGATGGTGTGATTTACCATTCAAACAAATCTTTTCCATATCTTATTTATGTGTGTTGTACCTCATTTTGAAAACATGTTTTCAATCTAAGTACGGTAGTCCTGTATTCCGTGTCTTGTACAAGTTCTTGTCAAATCTCATTTCACTACTTAGGAATAACAACTATTGCTGTGAGATAATTTAATTAAGTATGTTTTTCACTACCTACAATCTATTATATTATTAAAATATAGATGTGTATAAATGTAAAAATCATATTACGTAGGAAATAAAAAATTTAGTGACGTTATATGATGTTAAATCTTTTAATTATTTTACATTGGGACTATTGGCATTGGCCCAGACAAATCAAAAAGCAGGTGCCAAGAAACACACAGTAAATACAAATTCGTTAAAGGTAAGGGGCACCTGGTAACTTTAGTAAAGTTATTATTCAAGAGAGATAATGATCATGATCGTACCTAAATCCATCTTAGCACTCGTCGGTGGGTTTCGCCTTCAGAACAAAAATGGAATGCGGCTCCCAAGTCACTTTTCGCTCTGGCTCTTTTGGTCGGGGAAAGAGGGGGGGAGGGGTACGCACGGGGCAGCACGTCGCTGTCCAAGTCACTCCGGTTCACTGAACACCTCTAATTGCACACAACCCTTCCCTCACTGCTCCGTTCCGGTCAGGCCCGAGGGGGCTGCAAACGAGGTGGAGGGGCGGGGTGGAGGGTTGCACAAAGAGCTGCCGCCGACCTCGGAGTAGCGGTCGGTAGGGGGAGGTTGCTCGCCAATACCATCAGACTCTCGACATGAATTGTTAATTTCCCCCCTTCTTCTTGGGCCCGGACTCACGCGACACGTTTGCGGGACGACGTCGGGCGGCTACGTGTATAGTGTGCTGTGTCCACAGCGCACGAGCGCACTTCAGCTCGGCCACCCGCCCGCCACGCCGCCACGCCC